CTCGAGGCCTGCAGGATCCGCCTCAGCCGTGAACTAACCGCTCTCCCTTTCAGGGACGGAGCCGCCAGCGTCGGGCAGGAGGTGGCCGGGCCCACCAGGTGCAGATGGTCGGTGCCGCTCCGGGAGCCGTGAGAAGGGCCAGGAGAGTGAAAGTTCATGTCACAGCTCGAGGAGCTGCCACGAAAGCTCACTAACGACCAGTAACAACGCGGCCACTCGCTGGACACATACTTCACACACTGCTTCTTCCGGTGACATCACGGGAACCAGGGGGCACATGGTGGCTGCCGGCAAGCAGCCTCGGGGACCGGGCTCCCCACCTGTGCTCAGGGGGCAGGGAGACGGGCACAGGTGGGTGGGGGGCTCTGCTGGACGCCCCAAGTGGACTCTCTCAGGAAGTGGTAACCAGACAGGCCCCATGGACAGGGCCGGATGGACAGGGCCCGGTGGACAGGGCCGGGTGGACAGGGCTGGATGGACAGGGCCAGATGGACAGGGCTAGATGGACAGGGCTGGATGGATAGGGCCAGATGGACAGGGCTAGATGGACAGGGCCTGCTGGACAGGGCCCGGTGGACAGGCCCCAATGGTCAGGGCAAAGCCAGGAGCGAACCCCGTGTCTGTGTGAACCCAGGGGGACGCCCTGGCCCGCAGAGCGGCTGAGCTTCCTGCCCGTGTACCTTCACCCAGATTCTCACGGGCTGTGGGGACGAGGCGGCGGCCTGGCACCCGCGATAAACTGGCCCCTGTTCTGGGCGCCGTCTCCCCTCCTGGATTTAAGCACCATGACCCCAGGGGCCCTGCTGCTCCTCCAAGCTGAGTGGGGTCCCTCTGCTACCCCCTCCAGCACCCACACCCTTCCCGCTCCACCCCCGGCGCCCAGACCGCGGCCACCCTGCGGCCAGCCTGTCCCCACGGCTGGCAGGGAGGTCTCCCGTGGCACCACCGGATTCTGTCACGGCCAAACCTCTGCCGCTGGCGGGTCAGCAGGGTTGTGGGCGTGTGGTCAGAAAGCGACGCCCTCAGGAAGCATCCTCATCGTCCGAGTCTTTCAACCGTTTGAAAATAGCCCGGCCCGGCCGGTGCGGCTCAGCAGCTGAGCGCCGACCTGTGAACCAGGAGGTCACAGTTCGATTCCTGGTCAGGGCACAGGCCCGGGCTGTGGGCTCGTGCAGGAGGCGGCTGATCCATGATCCTCTCATCCTTGATGTGTCTCTCTCCCTCCCCTTTCCTCTCTGACATCAATAAGAACATATTTAAAAAGGAAAATGTCTGATGCAGACAGAGCTCGAGGGCCGGATAACCAGGAGCCACAGGTGGCCGGGCCCAGGGTCCGCATGAGGGAGGTGCCGGGTGCTGGCGGCACCGACCTGGCCCCACTGTCCTGGGGGGTCACCTGTTCCCAGACAGTAAGTTTCAGAGGCACCGAGTTCCAGGCCACGTGAGCCGTCCTGCGACACCCCCCCTCCCCAAATGAACATTGGCCGTCACTCCAGGCACATGGATCTCTGGGGACACCTACACGCCTCCCATCGGCTCAAACTCCACGTCAGCACTTCCTGCTTCCAGGCACCAGGGACGCCGGGATTCGAACTCGACTTCCCCATGAGTTTCCTCCGTCCCAGAGGCCTCTGTGCAGGTTGATCGAGGACACAGGGACTGGAGGCCCCTCTGGTCTGGGGGACACCCAGGGAGGAGCAGAGACCACGCACGGACACACTCAACACACTCAAAACCTGCTCTTCCACTAAGTGTGCTGGTGCAGGGGCAGTCAGAGCCTGTGGCCACAGCGCAGCCTCTGCTGAAAGCTGTCATCTTCCTGTTACGGAAACAAGACTCCGTTGCCCAGGAGGGAGTGTCTTCACGGGAAGCCATGGCACTGCCCACAGAGCTGCCCATGGCGCTGCCCACAGCATTACCCACAGAGCTGCCCACGGAGCTGCCCACAGAGCTGCCCACGGCACTACCCACAGAACTGCCCACAGCCCTACCTACAGAGCTGCCCACAGCACTACCCACAGAGCTGCCCCGTCCCACAACTGCCCACAGCCCTACCTACACAGAGCCCCACAGCACTACCCACAGAGCTGCCCACAGAATTGCCCACAGCACTGTCCACAGCACTACCCACAGAGCTGCCCACAGAACTGCCCACAGCACTATTCACAGCACTTCCCATGGTGCTGCCCACAGCACTACCCACAGCACTGCCCACAGAGCTGCCCACAGCACTGCCCACGGCACTACCCACAGAACTGCCCACGGCGCTACCCACGGAGCTGCCCACAGAACTGCCCACGGCACTGCCCACGGACCTACCCACGGTGCTACCCACAGCACTACCCACGGCACTGCAGCGCCTGGAGGCCACACAGGCCGCAGTGAGGAAGGGGGAGGGAGTGCCCACGGCACTGCCCACAGAACTGCCCAGAGCACTGCCCACGGCACTACCCACGGCACTGCCCACAACACTGCCCACAGAGCTGCCCACAGCACTGCCCACAGCACTACCCACAGCGCTGCCCACAGCACTGCCCACAGCACAGCACTACCCACAGAACTGCCCACAGCACTGCCCACGGCACTGCCCACGGCTCTACCCATGGCCCTACCCACAGAGCTGCCCACGGCACTGCCCAGAGCTGCCCACAGAACTGCCCACAGCACTGCCCACGGCACTACCCACAGAACTGCCACAGAGCTGCCCATGGCGCTGCCCACGGCGCCGGCCCCGGGACGGATATGCAGCCCCACAGGCTAGGCCTCGTCGATTCACTGACGGTCCCCAGTCCCCAGTCCTCAGTCCAGCGCCAGCGCCTGGAGGCCACACAGGCCGCAGTGAGAATAGCCCAGGTAGGAGGCAGGCAGCCCTAGTGCTGGGCCGAGGCTGCGGACACACACCCGGGCCCTGGCCTCCCACCTGAGCAGGCCTGGTGGTTCCTGCCCATCAAAGGGCTGTGGCCTCCACACCAGCCGTTGCTCCCCACGACCCTGGCCACACTCCGAGGTCCCCTGGGCCAGGGTGGTCCGAGGAGGGTCAGGGCAGGCTCAGGGCAGTGACAGAGGAGGATCTAGTATTTTTAAAAAAATATTTTTATTGCTTTCAGAGAGGAAGGGGGAGGGAGAAAGAGAAACATCAGTGATGAGACTCCTGTATCAGCTGCCGCCCGCACGCCCCGCACTGGGGATCGAGCCTGCAACCCGGGCGTGTGCCCTCCTGATTCCTAGGTCGATGGGCAGCCACTGAGCCCCGCCGGGCGGACTGACCGTCACAGGGCCTTTCCCCGCAAACCCGAGCAGGAGGCGTCCCTCCTGCGTCACCCCCTGAGGAGACCGCAGGGAGGAGCTGACAGCGCCTGGCTGGGGGCTCCTGTCCTGCCCCCCCGCCCCGCAGGCCGACACCAGCTGCCCAGCGGGAAGGCTGACGGGTCCACAGCTGCACGCACTCAAGGCCCCTTTGTTCTCCTCCCGAGGCCTGGGACCCATCTGCACGCTGCCAGCCCAGGGCCATCGGATTCCAGGCCTCAGCGGACGCGGATTCCAGCCCGATGACCACATCAGCAGGGCAAGGGCTCTGCACAGACAAAGCCTTCCCACCACCCCGGGCGCCCTGAGTTCCCGCTGATGAACTCCAACAGCGGGGCCCCATCTGCCCTGTGGGTGAGAGGGGGGAAATAGCAGTGACCGGCAGTGACACAGGCTCATGTGCCCGAGGGCTGGCGGGCGCCTCAGGGAGGGACCCAGAGTCCATCAGCCCCTTCCCACAAGGAGCAGAACCGAGGCCCCGGCAGCCACAGATCCGGGGGCACAGGGCAGCACCCACAAAGCCGACCCCCTAGCATCTCAGGCCAGAACCCAGGGAGAGGGGCTGGCCCCACACACAGGCGGCACCCAGATGGGAAAGTGCGGGATCCTATGGCAGGCGACCTGTTCTCTTTTTAAATAAACAAAATGAAACAGGGAGAGAGCAGCAGGTTCAAAACCCTCACATAAAACCACACACACACACACACACACACACACACACACACGTGCCCACACGCATGCGCACAGGACTGGGGGAGGTGACACTTGGCGGGGTGTCAGATGAGATTAACACGTTACATCTTCAGAGGCAACACTGTGGCTATTTCTGGAAGTCGGTGTGGAAGTCAGAGTCGGGGCTTCCGGGTTACAGTTCCGTAGACGGAGGGGGGCGTTGGCCACACGTGGACCGGCTGCCCTGGGTCCAACCCCCCAGACCAACGGCTGTGCCTGGAGAGACCAGGCCACGTGACAGGCACCAGGATCCCGGACGTGGAGAGAGGGAGGGGAGGGAGAGGGCTATGACCGACCGACTTCCCCTGAGGCAGTGGTTCTCAACCTGTGGGTCACGACCCCCTTGGCGGTCGAACGGCCCTTTCACAGGGGTCGCCTAAGACCATCCGCAGATCAGATATTTACATGACAATTCATCACAGTAGCAACATGACAGTTATG